GACCCAACATATATTACACCACATACAAAGCAAAGCACAGAAAACCCCACCTTGCAACTTTCTCCATTTGTTAATTAATTAAGCACAACTTTGTAACTGAATCATCTATCTCCCTGGCAGATAATTGGTAAGGTACAAGAGGAAAAGGCTGACATATATGGCCATGGATAATAAGGCCTTTGAAATTTTGAATTCATTTGGTCTTTCAGAATCATATTCCCAAAACAGGGCCCTTTTTCTTTGGTAAATTTAGATGCTTTGTTTGTTAATTCTCGGTTTTTTTTGTTGCCAAAGTTAGGAAGAGGAGGGGGAAAACTTACACACACAAGTACCATGGGGGTTTGAACCCACAACTACCTACTTGGAAGCACACCAAAAGCTTGGCCAATTCAATTAACAACCAATAGGTGTTCGTTAATTCTTGTTTTAACTCTCTTGATTTGGATTGATCATTGAAAAGGGTTTGGAGAACATTGTAGGGGTCTAGGAGAGGAAGCTCAAGCTGCTGTGATTCGTTGCTACAATACGACTACCAAAGTTCAACGGTATTGTATCACGAGGCAGCTTCATGCAAAACAACAAAACCGAGTAGATATCACACAATACATATACAAACGAAAACTGATATTCGATGCCTGAGTGTGATGTTGACCAATGTTATGAAAAGTGAGGCATTGATGCGAGGTATTTTAGTTGCGCTATGTGAAGTGTGAGTTTTGAAGCAGTGAGGCCAAAGAAGTTTTGAAGCAGTGAGGTGTAAGCTTTTTGAACATTAATTTATTTTAATTAGAAAAATTTATAAATAATACAATACAATGATATATATATATATATATATATATATATATATATATATATATATATATATAAAGCAAAAGGTAGAGAATGGTGAAACATTCAAAATACCAGAAAATGCCCTTGATTAATGCAAACATTAAGAATTGAAATTATTAATTAAGTGAGGATAATATGGTAAATTTACACTTTTTCATATTAAAAAATTTTAAAATTAAAAGAAAAATTAGATAATGGATCATCTTTTTATGGAACACAACTACCCATTATCTTTTTTAATTCTAAAATAAATTTAATTTTTTCTTTTAAAAAGCCTCTCGCAGGCGCGGAAGCGCATGCAGAGATGCTAGTATATATAAAGCAAAAGGCAGAGAATGGTGAAACATTCAAAATACCATAAAATACCCTTGGTTAATGCAAACATTAAGAATTGAAATGATTAATTAAATAAGGATAATATGGTAAATTCACACTTTTTTATATTAAACAAATTTAAAATTAAAAGAAAATTCAGATAATGGATCCTCTTTTTATGAAACACAGCTACTCATTATCTTTTTTAATTCTAAAATAAATTAATTTTTTTTTATATAAAAAGCCTCTTGCATGCGCGGATCCATTAATTAAATGATGATAATATGGTAAATTCATATTTTTTCATATTAAAAAAGTTTAAATTAAAAGAAAAATCAGATAATGGATCCTATTTTTATGGAACACAACTAACCATTATCTTTTATAATATAACAAGATATAACGGGTGGCGCAAGTGGTCTTGATCGTTGCATGTCTTCCTCCTATGTGCATATTATGTAAATATTTATATACATAATCTAAAACTACGATGTTGTGTAGAATGAAAAAATTATTTTACTGAGATTTTCCTATTAATGTTAACTTCGTTCTTGTTGAAACACGGTTATGAAAATGTTTGCCTGGGCTCCATCTCGAGCACATCAATTCTTCTGCCATGTATTGAATTGAAGGAAAAAAAAATGAATTGGATTGAATGGACGCTAACTGTGGAAACAATAACTATCAAACAATAACTACCAAAGTTCAACGGTATTGTATCACGAGGCAGCTTCATGCAAAACAACAAAACCGAGTAGATATCACACAATACATATACAAACGAAAACTGATATTCGATGCCTAAGTGTGATGTTGACCAATGTTATGAAAAGTGAGGCATTGATGCGAGGTATTTTAGTCGTGCTATGCGAAGTGTGAGTTTTGAAGCGGTGAGGCGAAAGAAATTTTGAAGCAGTGAGGCGTAAGCTTTTTGAACATCAATTTATTTTAATTAGAAAAATTTATAAATAATACAATACAATTAGGGGTCATTTGGTACAACGAACTGTTATGGATTGGACTAAAATTGTGAGAATCTGTATTCTTAAAAGTTTAAAAAAAAAAATATTTAACGTTTATATATAAAGCAAAAGGCAGAGAATGGTAAAACATTCAAAATACCAGAAAATGCCCTTAGTTAATGCAAACATTAAGAATTGAAATTATTAATTAAATGATGATAATATGGTAAATTCATATTTTTTCATATTAAAAAAGTTTAAATTAAAAGAAAAATCAGATAATGGATCCTATTTTTATGGAACACAACTAACCATTATCTTTTTTAATATAACAAGATATAACGGGTGGCGCAAGTGGTCTTGATCGTTGCATGCCTTCCTCCTATGTGCATATTATGTAAATATTTATATATATAATCTAAAACTACGATGTTGTGTACAATGAAAATATTATTTTACTTAAATTATTTGAGATTTTCCTATTAATATTGACTTCGTTTTTGTTGAAACACGGTTGTGAAAATGTTTGCCTGGGCTCCATCTCGAGCACATCAATTCCTCCGCCGTGTATTGAATTGAAGGACAAAAAAATGAATTGGATTGAATGGACGCTAACTGTGGAAACAATAACTATCAGATATAGTTGTGCAAACCAAAGATCATAAAGGCTGTGGTTTATGTGCGATCAATTTTCACTATATAATACTTCCACGCAATAAGGATGTCAAGGTGGTGGCATTCTAAATTAATCGTGGTGGAAAAGTTAAAATATATGACGATACATGATTGTCTTAAAATGCTTTTATAGTGATATTCTCGATATAGGTAAGTTTCTTGAAGCATTATATTTTTTGTTTAATTATGAATAGAATCACCTCAATGGAAAGAAAAGAAAGGAACATTGAATGATGTTGTGGCCTAGCTAGCAAATAGGATGATAGATGCCTTTATCCTTGCAATATATAATATATGAACCCTATCCAAAACTAGGAAGACATATACCTTCTTCTCCAAGCAATATAACTTTCTCTCTCTTTTTAGTGAAACTCTCTTGGTAATTCTAGAACTTGTTGTATAAAAAAACAACTCGAACGTATTGTCCAATGATAAAAGAAAAAGCTCCAAAGTAACTCAAACATGCTAATTATTTGCAATAATTAGTTGGAAAAAAGGGGTTTAATTGATGATGTTGATGATAAGGATGTAAATTTACTAGGATGTGCTCACATACATATGATAAGGAAGGGGGTGTCATGTCAGGAGGAGCTAAAGCAAGGAGTCAATAAGGGCGTTGAATCCGGCGTCGTTTACAACTGCACTTATACATCCCGGGGCATGTGGACCTCCTCGATCTTTGTTCTTTTGGCTCTTTCTTTTTTGGCATTGTCTCACAGCTACACCTACAACACTGAGCTTACATCTTCTTCTCTCAACTACGCCACCATAAACGGTGCCGTCGGAATCCTCCAGACACCCATGTCCCACGCTAATACATCAACACCATGCCAACTCGCATCCATAAATAAAAACTGGAATTAAAAAAGAAATTCCAGAATGATAATTGGCTGTGCCAATTGTCAACCCAACCACTTTACAAACGGTTGTGGACCCGAAGAGGCAAACAAAGCCGCAAGAATGGTCCAAATCGCATAATAGGTAGGGCCTGTGGGCCTTAAAAACAAAAAAAGGCAAAAACCTACAAAAAAGCACAACGGCTACTGCGCGTTCGGTGCGCCCACAGAAGCATATGGTTACCCGTGGGTAGTCCCCCCCAACCCAAGAAGAGCCTTGTGGGCGATGAGGTGACCGGCTGATCCGGTGAACTACATACACCAACCTCCTTTCTTCATTTATTCATAAAATTGCTTTGATTTGCCAATCAGCTTCCCAGAGTTTGACGTGTTTGTTTACTGTTTTGGGCAAATACTAATCTTCTTGGAGATAGATAAGGCTCAAATTGTTATTCTTGCCTGCCACCCACCTTGGAATCTTTTTGGGAAAAACCCTTTACTGGATCACCTTGGAATCCTTTTTTCCTATAATTAAAAATAAAATAAAAAAAACACTTTGTTGGTTGCATTGCAGTCATAAGATTCTTAACATTATTACTTGTTGTGGGAGTAATCATGGATTAATATATAATAAGCTCGTTTACTAAGAGTCCATTTATTGTCATAACATGCAGCATGGCCCCCAACTTTCCATCTGGCAGTAGTACTTTGTCATTAGCTTAGCGCTAATTGTTGGAGATTAACTTTAGAATCCGGGAATCGTTATTAACACTTCAAAATAGTCAATATATATTTTTGCATAAAACATAAATGATAGATTACATTATAAACTACAAAGAGTGCATAATATCTTTTTTGACATCTAAAATTAATGCATTACTTTATAATCAAACAACTTGCATATAACCGGGCATTAAATGCACATTTCTCACTATTCATCCTCACGTGATTTATCATGTGATAAAATCATAGAGAGAAAGCGTAGTTAAATTGCAAAATATGTCAAATAAAATAAATTTTACAATTAACGAAAAATTATAACTAAAATACAAAAAGTGGTTCCAACTAAATTATATTATATTATATTTTCCAATACCGGAAACATCAGACTCAGCCAGGTCAATACGTTTTAAAACTCAATCCGGACTCTTTTTTTTCCCTGGCAGGTACGTCAACAGCCAATCAGGCCCTACACGAAACCATCTAATACGGCATGTTGTAATGGCAATCTCGAAATTGTCCCATAATCCAAGGGCAATATCACCAAATCATGGCCCATTAAGAAGCTTCGAGCGAATATAGGCCTTCCACGCAGCTTCTTCCCACGCCTGCGAAACCGGCTCTTCCCGGTCTCCTAAACATGTGAGAGCGACCGCGTCATTCTCTAACCCACGCACCGTTTTATCTCTCTACATCTTCTCCAACAGTCTAACGCAGTCTTTTCAGTTTTCTCAGTTTCAGGGATCCAAAACCTCTCTCAGTCATGGCTTCGAACCGCTCTCCGTTCCCAAACAGAAATAAAATATCTTTCTGCTAACAAAAAACCAACCATGGCTTCTCGCTTTGACCATCCTCCTTCCCCGCACCACAGTTTTAAGATCTGCAACTCTCTTTTAAAAGCACCTGCCTTGATCGGAGCCAACCACACCTCCGCTCGATTCTGCTCTCGCTAAACCAAACACTAAACCCTTCTTCCTCTTCCAATAGGATTATTCAATTTTCAGAAATTCAATTCATTGTTTGATTGATTGTGAGAAAAACCCAGAATTCTCTCTTTTTTTTTTTCTTTTTTTTTTTTCTGTGAAAAAGGTGTATATTTGACAGAGATGGAGCCAACCGCAGGCAAGCCAGGCCTTCTGAAGAACGTTCTGGTACGCTGCTTCTTATTCGGCGTTTTGATCGTACTGTGCCGTTTTGCCTACGTCGTCACCGTCACCGGCGAGTCGTGCAAGCTCGGCAACTTCTGCTTCTTGTCTCTGCCTGAAAATCTCAACTTCGTTATTGCGAGAACCGGTGGTCCGGCCATAGCCGCCAAAAACGGCGTCGTACCTTCTACTTCGGCGGGGTCCTCGCGACCGGATCTCTACACCAGCAAGGACTGGATCAAGGCCGTCCATTTTTACTCCTCCGTCTTCCAAGATCTCATGGCGCAAGGCTTCCTCTCTCGGAAGGCCAAGTCTCTGTGCGTAGAGACCCCGACCGGGCATGACGTGTACGCTCTGAGAGAGTCCGGGGTCAAGGGCGCCGTCGGTATTTTCAAGAAAGCCTCGAGGCCTCTGGTAATTCCAGGCGACCCGCACCGTTTACCGTTCGGTGACAATAGCTTTGACTTCGTTTTCTCGGGCGGAGGCAGATTCGATAAGTCGCCAAAGCCGTCGGATTTCGCCGCAGAGATCGCACGGACACTGAAGCCTGAAGGGATTGCGGTGGTCCATATCGGCGCGAAAGACACCTACAGCTTCCATTCGTTTATTGATTTGTTCAATTGCTGCAAGCTCGTGACTTCGCGCGACGTCGAGGGTTTCGATGATTCCATGCCCAAAATTCGCGAGATGGTGTTAAAGAAGGAGTGTGGTGATGGTGAGATTGAGCTTCTGAGCAATACTAGGGCTGAGAACGGTGGTGGCAATTTGGGTAATAAATGCTCGGTTCCTGGGCATAAGCTAGAGTTGGTCAGGAAAGCCGAGCCTTTGATTGAAACAGAGCCGTTGAAGCCGTGGATTACTTTGAAGAAGAATATACAGAATGTCAAGTACCTTCCAGCAATGGTGGATATAAGCTTTAAGAAGCGGTATGCTTATGTGGATGTTGGAGCTAGAGGCTATGGCTCCAGCATTGGCAGCTGGTTCAAGAAGCAATACCCAAAACAGAACAAGACTTTCGAAGTGTTTGCCATCGAGGCCGATAAAACTTTTCATGAGCAGTACAAGTTGAAGAAGAGGGTTACTTTGCTGCCTTATGCAGCTTGGGTGAGGAACGAAACACTGTCGTTTGAGATTAACGGTGACCCGGGCGAGAAGGTGAAGGAGAAAGGCAGAGGTATGGGGAGAATTCAGCCGGCGAAGTCTGCTGATGGCGGGTTTAATGGGGAGGTGGATCGAATTCAGGGGTTTGATTTCGCAAATTGGTTGAAGAACACCTTTTCGGAGAAGGATTTCGTGGTGATGAAGATGGATGTGGAAGGGACCGAATTCGATTTGATCCCGAGGCTGTTTGAGACAGGAGCCATTTGTTTGATCGATGAGATTTTTCTGGAGTGCCATTACAATAGGTGGCAGAGGTGTTGCCCTGGTGAGAGGAGCTCAAAGTATGAGAAAACTTATGGTCAATGCATGGACCTCTTCACTTCACTGAGGCAAAGTGGAGTTCTTGTTCACCAATGGTGGTGACATTTACAGGTTTCTTTGATTATAGTCCAGACATGTTTTTCTTTTATAGTTTTGTAATTTCGTTTCACAAAGAAAAACTTTAGATTCCCAGAAATTGTCTGTTGTAAGAATTGCAGCTGAAAAATGAAAATTTAATTTACTTCATATCATATAGAAAAGCTCTGTTTCTTCCATTGGATTTATCTTCTATTTGGTTACATGAATATGGGCGCATTTGATTGTTTCTGTTTTAGACAAATCTGCTTCTTCTGATTTTAAGGAAAGATTCATAAGATTGATTGAACAGTTGAAAGGCCCAAAATGGTAGGACAGCTGTGATAATGCCTCACTTGTTTTTGTTGGTAAATTCCACCAAACTTTCTAAATTCATTTGAGATGCTTTAAATGTTTTTAGCACCGTATAAGGTAATTAGTAAATAATATTGCTCGTTAAGTTTCAAAGTATTTGGAAACACAATCAATCATTGCAATAGGATCTTGATAAGATAATTAAGAGAATAATCTATGGAGCCTGTAGGGAAGACTATGTTTGCGGCTCAAACAGGGAAAGCTCCATCATGTTGACTTGTTTGCACATGGGTTTAGCATTTTAGCACATGTTTTGTTCCTCATCACCCTTTGTTGTCAGCCCAAATTCTGCATCGCTGTCACCTTACATTTCCATCACCAATATATCAAAGCAATCCTTAACAATCAATTTCATCCAACACTTGAGCAGTGAAAAAAACATGAAGATATTTAAAATTAAAAACCCAGAGGTCTAAGCATACGTGAATTAGGCTAGTCGATTAGAGTACTTAGTCCGCCCTCTTGTACCCTAGTTCAAGTTCTCCAACTCATAATAAAACATGGACTTAAACAAACGTGCCATCTAATCCATTTCAGCCCAAAACAAGTTCTTGGGCTTGTGTAACTTATTTATACCCATACAACTACAATTGGGCTTATCCCAATCTTCTTCTTCACCATAAACTGTCCACCTCTCGTGTGTTTTCTAGATATAAAAATATATATATTTGACAATGGATGCATCTAGAAACTAAGAGTCGTACAGATTAGAAGAAAGGTTTTGTTTTAGTTCAAGTGTTTGTAGTTGTTGGTATGTGTACATAAGTTGTTAGTTATATAGGAAGTGTGTTTCAATAGGATGGTTGTAAGTGAAAGTCAAACTACAATTTTTTTTTGTTTCGAACCATCTAATTGACCAAATCAATAAACCATCTAGTTTACTTAACCAGTTATCATAGAGAAGACTTTCTAGTTTACCGCCAAAAGAAAAAGGATTAGGTTTTGATTAGTTGAACAGAACAGTGGTCTTCCAAAAACTGTTTAGGGGTATATATGTAGTTTGTACATAGTTTGTCTTATTAACAACTGGATTTTCATCTAATTGCTTAAAAATAAGGTAATTAAATTCCTAATCAAAATAATAACTGATAAAGAAGATACATGAAACGATACGAAATCGCGTAACATATATAATTTAGTGTGAATGCCACTATTTTAGTGAGAAAGATATCACATTGGGATTTACATGAAACACGTGACGATTTCGTGTTGGTTAACCAACTACGATATAGGGAAGATTATATTGCTAATTATAGTTTCTGTATTTTTGATTAATTTAGACATTAATAGGGAGATGCAAATTTAGCATTTCTATCCTCCGAGCAAGACCGAGGATATTCTTGTCATTATCGTTTTAACAATTTTTGACAGCGGAAAAATAGCTATTTGACTTGAATATGGATTGAGATTAGCACGTCGAAAATTCAGAGAACAGCCCACAATATTGCAAAACAAGGAGGAAGGAGCTTGCGACTTTTTTCCTTCTTTAATTTTGATCGCATAATTGCATGCTGTTGATGCTCAACCAAAAGATTCATGCATGATTGAGTCATTTCCATAATTGCATGCACATACCAATAAACACCATCGTCTTTCAATTCTCTTTCTCTTCTTGCCTCTTCACCCATTTCTGCCATTTGGGAAGTGGTTGGTTTTTGTTGGGTCTTTCAAAGTTTTTTTTCTCTTTTTCTTTTCTTCTTTGGAGAATTATCATTTGTGAGGGGTTGGCTTGTACAGAGAGACATGGGAGCTTGTTGTTCCAAGGAAGGGTTGTATGGAGGCGGGTACATAGAGGATGATCGTACGAACAATCGGCATTTTAACGAATTTGAGGGTAATGATGAGGAGGACAATGTAAGGCACGGGGACGACGGGGCTCGCATACGGTTGCAAGGGTGTTCTAGGTTCACATCAATGTACACCCAGCAAGGAAGAAAAGGGATCAATCAAGATGCCATGACAATTTGGGAGGTATGATTATTCAACACAACATGTATTTCCTGAAGAGTTCATCTGTGTTCGTTTTTTCATCTTTGATAAATAATTCTTGCATTTTTCTTTTTCTTTTTTCCTTTAAGCTTTCATTTCATTGTCACTGTGGTTTGCTTTTTTGTTGGGTTTTCTTCAGTTTTGGTGATTTACATCTGCTCTGTTTCCTAATCTCATGCCTTCAAATCTTATTGTTATCCTGTGTTCTGCAAAATTGGTTCTTCAACATTTCCTAGTTTGTTAATTGCTTCATGTAATTTCAATAATGATATGTCCTTCAGCCTATAGAATCCTCTTTTTCCCCTTTGCTATTATTTTCTTTTGTTTATGAAAGCAATGTGCATTTAAACGAAGTTTTTATCTCATCAATCCTTCAGGACTTTACTGAGAAAGGCATGTACTTCTGTGGTGTGTTTGATGGTCATGGCCCTGAAGGTCACAAAGTTGCAAGATGTGTACGTGACAATTTGCCCTCGAAGCTCTCCCAAGTGATCAAAATTTACCAACTTAACACCGGAATATTCAGTGACATTGATGTTGGAAGTGAGCTCTATGAAAATGTTGGTCACAGACACAACAAGAAAGCCAGTCAGGATCTGCCCCTTCCTTCATGGGAAGCCAGTTGTGTTAAATCATTCAAGGAAATGGACGAAGAACTTAGCCTCGATAACACCATCGATAGCTTCTGCAGTGGTTCAACAGCTGTAACTGTAGTTAAGCAGGTATTGTATATATTGGTTTGCACTTAAATTTGGATTAAAAAGTAAATGGTGGGATCAAAGCGCAATTCAAAAAGTTCATCTTTATTAATTTGTATGGGGTTTCATTTTCAGGGTGATCACTTGGTAATTGCCAACTTGGGGGATTCTCGTGCCGTTCTTGGCACTAGATCAGGAGAGAAAAACCAGATATGTTCTGTCCAACTCACAGTTGACTTGAAACCGGATACTCCAGGTCGGTTGAGTACTTGTGCTC